CTCCCTGTCCTGTCAGAGCCACGCCCACCCTGCCCACCTCAGCTCCCTAACTCTAACCCTAACCCACCCCTGCCCACCATCAATTACTCCTCTGTTCTCCCTCTGAATTTCGTCATTTAAAGAATGTTCAATGGGAGCTTTTCATTCTGCGACCTTTTGAGGTTTTCCCCTTTTTTTTTTTTGCTGTGCACAGTGTGCTTGAGACCTGTCTTAGCTCTGTTGCACATAGACACTTCATTCCTCTTTATTGCTGGCTAGTAGTGTTCAAAACAAAACTGCAAGTCTGACACGGTATCACACTCCTGTAATCTCAGCTATTCAGGAGGCAGAGGCAGGAGGATCAAGGTCGAGGCCAGCCTCAGCAGCTTAATGAGACCTGTCCCAAAATAAAAAATGAAAAGGACTAGGGAAGTGACTCAGTGGTAAAGCACCCCTGGGGTCAATCCCTAGTACCAGAAAAAAAAAAAWTTTTTTTTCAACAGATTTCAGTGGCTCTTGTTGGTCAATTAGAATTGGGCAGCATCTCATGTAAAGACTCAGGTCTCTGATGAAGGGAGCAGTGGGAAATCACTTTACAGGCTGAAAAGGTGAAGAAGCAGAAAGGGAAAGCAGAGAGATTTCCTTGTCAATCTGGTTGGGTAAGGGGCCCCTCTGGTGAGCTGCTGCTAATGTCCTGGTGTGGGGAAAGCGGCTGGTTTGGGCTTGACTTCAGCACATCCAGCGTGGACCTCGGCGGGAGCTGGGTCCACACACGTTGTTCCCAGGAAGCGTTCCCCAGTGGACCCCGGCGGGCGGGCTTCCTTTCGAGGCTGCCGGAGTGGGCTCAGGTTCTCCCTGCTGGGGGTGAGGGTGCGCATCTCTAGGCTGCCGTGTGGACATTTCATCTCTCTGGGATAATCCCCAGGATGGTGACCCATCATTGGTCGCTTGGCCAAAGGAGGGTCCCATGGCATGTTGCGGTGCTACAGAACCCGAGACTGCTTTTGTGAAGATGTTCAGGAAATTGTTACTTCCTCTGGGCCAGAAAGGATGCTCCTGGGTGGCTGCCACTCCACCTTTTCTCCCAGGCAGAGGTGCCATAAAACACAGGAGATCTTCAAAACGGACCCATTATGCCACCGGAGGCCCTGGTGCCTTTCCCAGTCACCCTCTGACTCCATCACCCACATCTCCCTCAGGCTCACAGGATCCAGGCCCCGAGCCTTTCTTTGCTTTAAATAACCCGACTCAAGCCTTTGCACCTGCTGTCCCCTCTCTAGAATGGGAGATGGAGAAATTCAGGGGAGTGAGGAGGTACAGGGAAGTGGGACTCCAGGAGGTGAGGAGATTCTGGGAGGTGAGGAGATTCCAGGAGGTGGGAAGAGCCTTGGAGGTGGGGAGGGCGGGTCTTTCCAGCTTTGTGGTCCTGAGGGCCAAGATCAAGGCCAAACCCAGTGGTCAGAACCATGTGTATGATTTAATCTGGAAACTAAGTCTTCTTATAACATTTTCAGTCTAATGTTTTGATTGGAGAGTGTAAACAGATGTGTAGAGGTCTGCATCTCAGCGGGCCTCTGGTTGCACAGGTCTCTGTGTGTCTCAGCTCCTTGGAATGATGCCCCCGAGAGGTGTCCGCTTCCCTGTATGTAAATCTTACCTAAACTCAGGCGAATGAATCATGAACTCTCCCTAAGGACATGCCTCTAAAAGTGCCTAGGAGTAAAGGAACTGCAGCCTGTGACCTGCTATGGACTGCACCAGACTCTAAGAGGGCAGAGGACAGAGGGCAGAGGACGCCTGACCACGTGGACGGCAGGATCTTAGTGGTGCAGTCAGGGGCATGCATGGGGTTTCCTGGGCATTTCCTCCTTCCCGTCTGCCTTGCAGAGTCAAATGTTGTGATGAGGAGGGAAAAGATTGCACATGTGTTGCCTTCACCGTCAAGAGTAACCTGGCCTCCGCTTCCTCAGTCCCCAGGTGCTCCCCAGAGGCAGTACCGTCCAGTTCCTGCAGGAAGCTCTGGGCACACACAAACAACTACACATGTGTGTCTGTTATCACATATTTATGAACAGCTTTTTCATACAGGTGGCAGTTTAGCAGGCATACCATTAGGGGCCTTGTTTTGGGTTTCTTTTGCTAGAGTTGCTATGAAAGGTCTGCACCCAAGCACAGAACCTGGTCCATCCGCCTGGGCTCCTGTCACTTCTCTCATTGCTAAGGTTTTATGGGTGGCCTCATGACTCTCCCCCTCCTCCTCCAGCCCTGCCTCCGGAGAGTCCGAGTCCTACCCCAACCAAGCTTTCCAAAAGGAAGAGAAGACTGCTGGCCACGTCCCTACCAGCCTGGAGCAAGGTGAGCTCACGGTTTCCTCAATGGCCAGAGGCCAGCTCTGTTTGGAGAGGGCAGTTATGTTTCTTGCCCTCTCTGCCCAGCTGAGACCCTGCTCTAGTTTGGTGGGCACTGCACCCAGAGGAGGGTGGATTTCCTCTCTTCCCTGCCTCGGGTGTCCTAATTCCTGTCTCTGGTCAAATGCTACCTATCAGGCGGGACACAGCTCCATGGTGGAGCCCTAGTCCAGTTTGGGTGACACCCTGGGTACATTCCCATCACTGCAGAACAAATCGGTCACTTAGTCCATCGCTCTCTACCCCTTATCCTGCTTCCGTTCTTCAGAGGAAGGTTGCCACCCGACAGTGTGCTGTTATGTGTCCATCCAGTGCTGCCCCACTATACCTGGGGAGGACAGGAGTCTCATCTGTTGTTCACTGACAGAGCCCTGGCCTAGGAACGGCCGGGCTGAAGAGTGGACCGAATGCACGGGGCAGCAGTGTGAATGCAGGGAGGGAAAGAGGATCAGTGGGTGGAGGCCAGCAGCTGCCTCCTCCTTTCTACACTCTTTTTTTTAAAAAAGAGAGAGAGAGAGGAGAGAGAGAGAGAGAGAGAGAGAGAGAGAGAGAGAGAATTTTTTAATATTTATTTTTTAGTTTTCAGCAGACACAACATCTCTGTTTGTATGTGGTGCTGAGGATCGAACCCGGGCCACACGCGTGATAGACGAGCGCACTACCGCTTGAGCCACATCCCCAGCCCATCTACACTCTTTTTTTTAAAAAAAACTTTTTTTGGATATTTATTTTTAGTTTTCGGTGGACACAACACAACTCCATTTTTTTTTATGTGGTGCTGAGGATGGAACCCAGTGCCCCCAGTGCCCCGCGCATGCCAGGCGAGTGCGCTACCGCTTGAGCTACATCCCCAGCCCCTCCACTTTTGATCTTCCCTTGCAGACTCCTCCTTCTCCTGGCATTCTCTAGCCAATCAGAGCATACTATGCCCAGGACCACAGAGACTGGCTGAGGGCCAGGCATGTGACTCAGTCTTGGCCAAGGAGAATTGGTTCTGGGACTTGTAAGGGACTCCAGGATTGCCAAACAGGTGGAAATGCTACACTGATGGCCCTTATGGTGAATGAGAGGCTGGAAAGGAGATCCAGACAGGCAGCCTCTCTTGTCACACCAGCACCACCTTCAGAAGCATCCCAAAGGACAGAAATGACTTTCCTGTTAGTGCCAGCAACACTCCTCCCACACAAACACAGAGAAAATATATGTGCATATTATGGAAATAATTTAAAACTCACAAGAAAAGCGCCACACTAGTAAGCGCACCGGGCTTCACCATCTGTTAACGTTTCTCCTATTGGCCTCGTCCTCTGCACTCTCTATCGTGATACGTACATTACCTTCAGAACCACTGAGCACAGAGTGCACACAGCACCTGCCCCAAACACTTCTGTCTCTCCTAAGAGTCTTCTCCTACATAACCCCAGTACTGTTATAACCTTCACACGTTTAACATCGGTACAATGCTTTTCATCAAAACTGCTCTCAACATCCCTGACTCGAAAATGTGCTCAATGCCATCCACCTTTGCATCCTCTCTTCTCCACGGCAGGATTCGGTCTGTGGCAGTGTTGCAATTAGTGGACATGAAGAAATCTCCTTGAGTCTAGAAAACCTTGCTGGCCATTTTTGGCCTCTTATGACACTGATATTTTTGAAGACTACAGTCACTGCTGCATTTGGGTCTGGGGGTGCATTTTTCTTTGAACTAGATTGATCTTATGCATTTGTGCCCAGACTACAGGCAGGCACAGGTAATGCTGTGCCTGCTTAGAGCCTCACATCCGGGTCTGCATGTGGCCTGTCTGTCATCGTTGGTGGCTGCTCATTTTGATCCTGGTCAAGACAGTTTTCTATTTTCTCCACTGAATACTTTCCAGTTTTCCTCATACCAACCAATAGGCCATCAGTGAAGAGGCACCATTAGGTCAAGCCATAACCTAGGGGTAGGGAATATTCTGATTGGCCCATGGTGAATCACATGCCCACCATTTAACCAAGCAATAACGGGGGATGCCGGACCCTCATTGGCCCACCCTGGGCCATGTGCATGTCCCTGAAGTGGAAGGGGGTGTGTGTCTTTGCCTGTCCCACAAACCAAGAAAGGGAGGCCTGGAGGAAGGCTGTGGCCCTCGCCTGGAAGCACCTTCCCTCCAGGGCCTTTTGGCAAGGTGTGGACCTGTTTCCATGGCCACACTCGAGGGGACATGCTGCTGGCATCTGACGGGTGGAGGCCAGGGGTGCACCCACCGTGCTCAGGCAGAATGAACTGGCCTGAGTGGCCATGGAGCCATGGCTGAGGAACCCAGGGCTGGCGAAGGATGGTTCTGCAGAGGAAGAGGCACAGAGTAGAGACCCAAGTCTCCCATCCACTGATGCCCCCCAGTTAGGGCCCAGCCCGGCGAAACCATGAGCCTAGACTCTCACCTTGGCCACTATCCACTGTGTGGTCTTGGGTTATTTCCTGAACTCCTCTGTGCCTCTCAGCTCCCTCATCTGTCAAGGGGCTGGTCACAGTAGCCCATCACAGGGTTATTACAGGATAGAGAGTGGATTGTGCAGTTCTTGGAATATGTCTATCATGTAAGTGTTTGCAGGTAAATGATGGGAAATTTTCCAGTTTGGGAAAATTGATCCTCTTTGAGCCCCATTTCTGATCACAATGAGTGTAGCGAGTTGTGGAAGTGTTCCTGCCTCTGTTCTTGCAAGTGGAGAAATAACAAAAGTAGCTGAGGACTCGTGAGCATGCATGTCAATTACGTAAAAGAGTACCACAATAACCCCTGAGGAGAGTACAGACAGAAATCAATAGACCTGCCCACCGTTTACCAAGTGGTGGCACTGAGGCAGATGCTTTATCTTGGAAAAGAAGTGGGGATATTTTTACAACAACAGATAGTTTCAACAACTCAGCTAAGGCGACAGCGTTAACTGGCAGCCAGCGAGTTTACGGAACTTACCAAGTGACGAATGTTGTTGGGGCTCTTCCCTTACTGTCTAATTCCCTAGAGGCAGTACTGTTAGCTCTTCTTCCCATCCTGCAGATGTGGAAACAAGGCACAGGAAGCCGCCTGTCCAGGGATCCCAGCAGGATGTGGCCCGCTGCCCTGCGGCTGACCTCCCTGCCTCTCCAGCCTCCTCCTGTCTTGAGCTCTCTGCCTGCTCCACCCTTCACCTCCTTCAGGGCCCACTGCTCTGCTCTGCCTCGCAGACTCCTCTGTCCCCGGAGACTCAGCTCGGCTGTCATCTTCTCTTTCAAGCCTTTTCAGAGTTCCCCAAAATGCGTGCACAGGTGTCCTCTGTGCTCCTGGGCATGCGCCGCTCCTCCAGCACCAGCCACGCTGCATCCAGGTGTCCCTGGGCTCTGTCCATCTCTCTGCTCCCTGCCCTGAACCGCGAGCCCAGGAAGGACACAGGTTTGGCTGCCGTCTTCTGAATTCAGGAGCTACATGGGTAGAATGAGTTGCTCTCCACTCAGGGATGGTCCCTGTGTGAACATCCAGGGTGGGGAGGGGCAGTGACCACTGCATGGGGCTCACCACCCGTGCTCCTTTGATCCTGTTTCTCTCCCTAGGAGGTCGAGGGGGGCTCACCCCATGTCAGTTCACATTCTGCCCCAAGTAAGTGGGGATATGGGAAAGGAAGGACAGCTTTGGTCCTTCTAAAGGCAAAGATGGATCTGTCACTTCTGCTTACACCCATTGGCTAGAATGTAGTCACAAGACCCTATCTAGCTGCATGGGATGTTGGGAAATGTAGTCTTTGGGCAGCCATGCATTCACCTATAACTTTTATTTTTAGAACAAAATCGTAGGCATGTTGTGTCCATCACAGCTCTAGTCTGTTAGGTTAACTTATCCCCAGCACCTGGCAATGGTGAATACATGAGTAAACTGGTCTCCAAGTCTGCATCCATCTCCCACTGCCTAGGATCACCCACATTTAAACAATACTTAGAATAATAGGGAGCACTGACCATGATACCCGTGCTTATCCACTCGATCCTCACAGTAACCCAGGAGGAGAGGTACTGTTGTTATCCCTGTGGAAGCACAGAGAGCTTGCATCACTTGCCGAAGGTCACACAGCTAATAAGTGGCCAAACCAGGAGTGAAACCCAGGAAGTCTGGCTCCCGAATATGCTCCTAACCATCCTTGGTATCTACATCACAGATAGGGAAACTGGGAGTTTTCCTGATGGCCAAATGATGACAGGCAGGAGTCTTCCAGGAATTGATGTTCCATAGCATGCACTCACCTCCCAACCCCACAGGAACACTGGTAACATACCGTAGCAGTTGTCTCTTGACATGGCAGTGCTGCACAACCAACAACAGAAATTCAGGAACACCTACCAGAAGGGGTTGTTTAGGAGGCTCCTTCCTAGGAGCAGTCTGTGCCCTCTGGGTGTCCGCTGGTCTAAGCTGGCTGTCCAAGGGCCTGGGGGACTTAGTGTGGCTCTACACATCTTGCCAGCTCCAACAGGCTGACCTGGGCATGTTCTTTCTCCTGGTAGCAGTAGACKGGCAGTAAGAGTATTGCCAATTATCAAAGTGTTTTTTCAAGTTTCTGCATATATCACCCTTTACCAGCGTCCCACTGGCCAAAGCAAGCGCCATGGCGGGGGTAGGGTGAGGAACAGGAGCCTGCTCACCGCCTATGGCCATGCGGGATTTGGCACACCTTTGCACATGCTCTCTGGGGCCAGGAGAGGGACCAGTCCCTGGGTGAAGAGCCGCAGGGCTTTGGTGTTACAGGAACCAGTGGTCTTCAAGGATATAGCCCTGTACTTCACCCAGAGTGAGTGGAAGCTGCTGAAGCCTGCGCAGAAGGCCCTGTACAAGGATGTGATGCTGGAGAACTACAGCAATTTGGCCTCCCTGGGTAAGGACGGCCTCCCCGCGCCATCTCGACTCTCAAGGGCTCTGAGCTTTACAGAAGGCCGGGGCATGGCCCTGGCTTCCTCCTTTCCCGGCCCAGCTCGTGGTGGCGCCGAGCTGTGGCCAGCCGGGTGCTCCAGTCTAAGGGGCTGGCGGCGGGGAGGGCGAGTGTTGGCTTCTCTGTGATTGGAGCTGGCTGGAGTCACGTGACCGCAGCGGAGCCAATCCGAGTGGGCGGACGTCGCCCGGCTCTGCTCCTGAGCCTGAGCTCGAGGGGTCCCCCCAAGGTCAGGGTGGGGCTGGGTGGGGCTCCCCGCTGGGGAGCACCCTCTGCCCGCGTGGGCCTTCTGTGCCAGCACCGGCCTGGGCGGGCGAGGACTCCTGGGAGGCCTGAACCTTCTTTCTTGTGTGCAGTGGGGTGTCATTTCTTCAAGCCGACATTGATCACCAGGCTGGAGCAGGGCATCGATCCGACCCTGGAGGACAGACCGGCCCCCGGAGGCCCCCCGCGAGAGGAGGACRAGGGAGGCGCTGCCAGCGCGGCCTCGGCAGGTGAGCTGGGGGACAGGAGGGACAGGGGGCACTGGGTGGCCCCGCGGCCGGCCCGACTGGCCTTGGGCGGGCTCTCTTCTCCGTTAGGGCGTCAACCAGAACCTTGAGGAGAGGTCGGTGGCATTTTCTTGGTGTTGGTTGGTTTGCACATGACCTTCATCTTTTCAGATGTCCCCGGTTCACAACCCTCCGGGGACTTAGAAAAGCCCAGCACATGTTTGAACAGCACTATTATCACCCACCATGGTCTGACCTCAGAGGGTGGAGATGTTTTTCACGAACTCGTTTGTTCCATTGTCCCAGATGTGAAGCAGATAGAACCAAAAGTAGTATATAACAGACAACATAATTATTTGATATATTATGTAGCACAATTAGATTCTAAAATGTAACTATTTAAAATATAATAATGTTAACATAATCACTCTTTAAGGAGCATCACTTATTGTTATTTGTGAGTCTTAGTGATGCTCCTTAAATAGTGATCCTCTTTCACATTCCTGCTTCTGCTTCCCTAGTTCCAAGTTCTGGTTACTTATCAGCTACCCAGTAAGTCTTGAACTTTCTGAACCAGCTTCCAGGGATACATCCCCTCACGATGACTTAAAGGAGAAGTATGAGTGCTGACAAGAATGTGGTGTTGGGCTTTGTTGTCTGTTGGAACCAAGCAAGCCTGGGCAACTTGTAAGCAAGGTCAATCCATTTCTCCTGCTTCTGAAGCCTGCCTGTCCAGGTGGAGGCTGCCAGCATGAGAGGGCCTCCCTCAGGGGGCAGGCTGCCAGCCTCTTGAGGTCCTCACATGGTGGTTGGACCCAGAGAGGTCTCTGGCCTCTTGTCAGAGCAAAAACCCCATTCACAAGGGGTGCATCCTAATGACCTAAATTATCTCATAGGGGCTCAGGGCCTGGTACCTTCATTTTAGAGATGGGGATCTCACAATGTGCATTTTGGCCAGGCATAGGCATTCACTCACTAACAGCACAGAGCGCAGGATGCCCTAGGCTGCTGGTGGCAGTCCACGTGGGCGGAGCTGTGGAGGGGGAAGACCATTAAGCTGCACACACAAACCTTCTCAGCCCCCGGCCACTCTTCCTGGGTAGACCCCAGCAGACAGGCATCTGTGTTCACCAGGAGGTGTGCTGCGGTGTCCACAGCAGCTCTGTTCAGAATGACCCCAAAGTGGGGTCTACCCAAGCATGTTTCAGCATATGACACAATGAAATTCTATAAGCAGGGCGAGTGCATGGTTTACACTGACAGGAGACAGTACTGATGCATGTCACAAAGGAAACATGGAGTGCAGAAATACAGACGCTAAAGGTATGTGAGAACAGGCCATGCAGACACGTGTGGTTAGGGGAGAGGGGAGCGGTGGGAGGGCTGCTGGGCTGCTGTGAGCCTCACCTTGGCCCTGTGAACAGGAGTGTGCTCACTCTTGAGCACTAACCAAATGGAGCACTTTTTATCTGTGTACGAACTTTGTATCTGTGTTACATGCTCCAATAAAACACTTTAAAATCAAAACAGCAACGTAAAACAGATGTTTGCATCCTGAATCTCTTTCAGGCAAGAAGACACGGCGTAAGTCAAAGACAAGACCGAAGCCAGACAGTTCAAAGATTCTGCTACAGGAGAAGGCAGAGAGAGCCATCCAAAGGGCTCTCGCCCAGAGTGCGAGGGCAGAGAGGGCCTCAAAAAGGGCCTTGAAGAGGGCCTCTGAAGAGGCCTCTGAAAGGGCTCCCAAAAGGGCCCTGGAAAGGGCCTCAGAAAGCCAGGACAGGCCATCGCCAAGTCACCAGAAAGCTGGCCCCAGCCCAGACACAAGAGCAGGCAAGAACGTCTCTGCTGCTGAGAAAGAGCCTGAGCCCGTGGCCCCAAAGGAACCTTCCAGTCAAAAACCAGGAACCTCAGCACCAGAGAGCATCTCCCCTGCTGAGAAAGAGCATGAGCCCGTGGCCCCAAAGGAACCCGCTAATCAAAAGCCATCAACCACGGCACCAGAGAACGTGTCCCCTGCTGAGAAAGAGCCTGAACCCGTGGCCCCAAAGGAACCTTCAAATCAAAAGCCATCAACCTCAGCACCAGAGAGCGTCTCCGCTGCTGAGAAAGAGCCTGAACCCGTGGCCCCAAAGGAACCTTCAAATCAAAAGCCATCAACC